AAGAGTGTTTCAGGCTTAGGGAGTATTAAGTCCAAACGCCCTGAGGTGGAGTATAGCTGGTGTGTTCTTGGAGCAACAGAGACCTGTGTGGCTGGGACGGAGGAAGCAAGAGGAAGAATTCTTGGAGAGACTGGGCTGTGTGTACGGGTGAAGGAGATCATGTAGGGCCCTGATTTTATTTATTTATTTTTATTTATTTATTTATTTTGCGGTACGCGGGCCTCTCACCGTTGTGGCCTCTCCCGTTGCGGAGCACAGGCTCCGGACGCGCAGGCTTAGCGGCCATGGCTCACGGGCCCAGCCGCTCCGCGGCATGTGGGATCTTCCCGGACCAGGGCACGAACCCGTGTCCCCTGCATCGGCAGGCGGACTCTCAACCACTGCGCCACCAGGGAAGCCCAGGGCCCTGATTTTAAATCAGTGGTGTGGAGATGGCTGGTAGACCAATTGGAACTTGGGACAAAATTAAGCTGGATTCACCCTACTCAGTGTTTTGATATTCAGGCATTTAAATGTAAAAATTAAAATCATAAAATGACCAGGAGAAAATGTGGATGAGTATTCTTTTTTGTTTTTTGTGTTCTTTTTTTTGGCCGCGGCTTGCAGGGTTCCCCAACCAGGGGTCAAACCCAGGCCCATGGCAGTGAAAGCAGAGTCTTAACCGCTGGACCGCCAGGGAATTCCCGAATATCCTTTTTATTTGAAGATTTTATTTATTTATTTTAAATTAATTTATTTTATTTTGTTATTTATTTTTGGCTGCGTAGGGTCTTTGTTGCTGCACGCGGGCTTTTTCTAGTTGTGGAGAGCGGGGGCTACTTTCCATTGCTGTGCATGGGCTTCTTATTGCTGAGACAAGTAGGATGTTCCCCGACCAGGGCTTGAACCCGTGTCCGCTGCATTGGCAGGCGGATTCTTAACCACTGCGCCAGTAGGGAAGTCCCCGAGTATCCCTTTTAATAGTTACATGTTGATAGTTCTGAAACCAGGAAGACGAAGAAAAAACTTTATTTATTTGATTACTTAAAATTTAAAGCTTCTCATGATAAAGTCAGAGGGCAAACTGGAAAAATATTTCCAATACGTTGCAACAGAGTGAGTTTCCTTAATGTCCAAAGAGCTTGCAGAAGTTAGTAAGTAAAAGAAAAACTAGTAGAAAAATGAGCAAAGGAAATGGAACAGGAAGTTTCCAGAAAAGGAAATAGATAAATGGCAGATAAACAAATGCAGAAATATTGTTACTGAATAAAAATAAATTAGACTGGGCTTCCCTGGTGGCGCAGTGGTTGAGAGTCCGCCTGCCGATTCAGGGGACGCGGGTTTGTGCCCCGGTCCAGGAGGATCCCACATGCCACGGAGCGGCTGGGCCCGTGAGCCATGGCCGCTGAGTCTGCGCGTCTGGAGCCTGTGTTCCGCAACGGGAGAGGCCGCAGCAGTGAGAGGCCCCCGTACCGCAAAACAAAAAAAACAACAAAAAAAAACATGTTCCCTTAAACATGGTAATATTGACTCTAGGAATTTATCCTCAGGTATACTCCAAGTGTAAAAGAGTACATAGTGAAAAGTGAGTCTAACTGCTCCATACCCCTTCCCCCGCTTCCTCTCCCAGAGGCAACCACTGTTGTTCTCCCCTGTTTGTGTCCTTTTTGCTCATAGTAACACTAGCACACTAGACAGAAGTTTGTTCTGCAGTTTGCTTTCTTTTTTTAACTTAATAGATCTTGAAGCTTTTGTGTGTCTGCTCATTGTTTGCTTCATTCCTTTCTTGTTCATTGCATTGTGTTTCATTATGTGAGCCATAATTTGTTTACACTTTTTATCATGGAAAATTTCAAACATTTACAGAAGTAGAAAGAGAATAGTATAATGCACGTACCCATCACCCAACTTCACCTGATTATAGTTTGTGGCCAGTTTTTACATCTACACCTTTCATTCTGACTTCTGGGATTATTTTGAAGCCAGTGCCGGGCATTATCCCATTTTATCTGTTTCAGCATGTATCTCTAAAATATAAGGCTTCTTTTTAAAATTTTATGTAAAATAAAATTGACTTATTTTGGTGTACAGTTATGTATTTTAATTTTTTTTATTGTGGTAGAATATACATTAGATAAAATATACCATTTTAGCTGTTTTTAAGTGTTCAGTTCAGTAGCACTAAGTATGTTCACATTGTGATGCAGTCATCACCACCATTCATTTCTAGAACATTTTCGTCTTCCAAAACTGAAATTTGTACTCATTAAACACCAACCTATGTTGCAATATGTGTGAGAATTTTGTTCCTAGTGTTTCCACATCTTGGATATTGTGAATAATGCTGCTGTGGTATGGGTTACTAATACCTGTTTGAGACCCTGCTTTTTTTTTTTTTTTGGTGTATTCTCAGAAGTGGAATTGCTGGATCATATGGTAATTATATGTTTAATATTTTAAGAAACTGCCATACAGTTTTCCAGTTAGGTGTTTTAACACATGTACAGATGGTGATGTAACCACCAAAATCAGGATACAGAACAATTCCATCACAAAGAAACTCTCTAGTGTTGCCCCTTAGTAGTCAGTCTTTTTTTTTTTTTATGCCGTACGCGGGCCTCTCACTGTTGTGGCCTCTCCCATTGCGGAGCACAGGCTTCGGACACGCAGGCTCAGCGGCCATGGCTCACAGGCCCAGCCGCTCCGTGGCATGTGGGATCTTCGCGGACCGGGGCACAAACCCGCGTCCCCTGCATTGGCAGGCGGACTCTCAACCACTGCGCCACCAGGGAAGCCCAGTCAGTCTTTGTTAAGTGGAAAATAGCGGAGTTAAGTCCTCAGAGAACAAAGAGTAAAAGGGAAATAGGAGGATGTTTACCTTTAGGAGGCTCTCTTTTCTGTAGATGGTATGTGGTGGATTGTGGTAGACCCCCCACATCTATGTTCCCCTGGGAGAACTGCCTTACCCAAGGTTCTGTCATTCTAGGCTAGCATCCAATGACTAATCTATGTGGGGTTAAAATAACATCTTGGCTCCCTTGCCCCAACTTGGTCAACTCTGTAGGGCCTTCCTAGCTCCAGACTTCTACATGGTTTCAGTTGCGGCCTTGTTGGAACTCACAGCTCTCAGCTTCTTTCTGCCCAGTGAGCACTCCCTAATCAACACCTTACATGTTAATCTCCGTCTCAGAACCTACTTCCCAGAGAACCCAATTTATGGCACAGTTTTGTTAATTTGCAAGATCTATAAATACAAAGCGAAAAATGAATTAAGCTTGAAGAGTATTTTTACTTTACGTATCAGAACCTAGGAAAATTATCACCATTTTTATTGTACAACTTTTCAGAAGCAAGAGTAGAAATTATTGAACATGCATGTCATGTTTTTCTTACCCTTCTGATCAAAAACAGATATTTTCTAATAGGAAAAAAGTGCAGGCTCACTTCTGGCCCAGAGCTCACAGAGCATTTACTATATTTTTGGTTTCTGTAAAAAGGGCTAATTCTAATCTGGTGCTGTTCTGTTTAATAGAACCACAGAATAAGAGAACTCCAGACTTGCCTGAAGAAGAGTTTGAAAAGGAAGAGATCAAGGAGAATGAAGAAGCAGTCAAGAAGATGCTTGTAGAAGCCACCCGGGAGTTTGAGGAGATTGTGGTATGTTAACTAGATTTAACTCATGTTTTTTTCCTACGTCCATTCTCCTCCTTTGAAATTGGTCTTCCCGTCTGTTCTTTTTATACACCCGAGGCCCAGAAAGGTAAGAGAGAAGTTCAAGATGAAGGAGGAAAATGGAAGGTGAGACTGATCAAGGTTCTGGGCATGTACTTTTAGTTTTTGGTAGGATGATTTAAGGAGGAGGGGAGGGAGAAAGATGGGGGAGAATTATTTTTAAGCAGTATAAAGCATCTTACTTTGAGTACTTTCATCTGTAAGTTTTTCTCAGTTAAGATTGCAGATTTATCTTTTTAAAATGTTTTTATTCTTCTCAGGTAAAAGTAATTTTTTAAAGAGGTTAATTTTTTATCAAGCAATTTTAGCTCTTTGTATACTTAGAGCTTTTTTAGAATCTTTTAGCTCTTCCATATTCAGTTAAGTTCTAAAACTTTGTTGGAATCCCATATTTAATCATAGTTATAGAGAAGGGCAACCATAAAATAATGAGTAATTAAAAAATCCAAATTATATGTGCATATCTTCTCTAAGAAAAAGGATCTTGTTAATTAACTTTTCTTAGTAACACTAAGAAAAATGGTTATGTGTCAGTCTAAAACAGGAAAATAATTTGAAGTTCATTTAATTTAAAGTTGGTTCATTTTCTGTAAACCTTCAGATACTCTCAACAACTCTCAAACATGGCCTACATAGGTCTCCTCTCACATAACACGCTTTGTAACGTGCCTAAATGTAGTGTAGTGTGGAGACCCTAATATATTCATACAGCAATGTTTTTTGAGTACTTACCATGTGAAGGCAGTGGTAGGCACTGGGGATGTCGTGATGAGCAAAACATAACATTTCCTGCCCTATGGAGCTTACAATCTGAGAGTGAAGTCAAATTTTTAACAAATAATCTAGTGCATACATGTGTATACATATATGTGTATGCACATAACATTTATTTTTCACATTCATTGTAGCTTCTAATGTTCTGTTGGAATACCATATACATACACGTACGTACATATGTACACATGCATGCACACACACACACACATATATACCCCCATCCACACTCACACTTCTCCTTACCCTATCATATACATACATATATATATACACACACATACACATATGCACACATTCAACATGAGTAAATGTAAGAAGGAACATAGCACATAAGAGGAACTGAAGGAAGTCCAGTGTGATTGGGGTGAAAAGGGCAAGGAAGTGGTAGCTGGGAGAGACCAGATATTTTAAGAGTAAGTATTCATGACTTGGTAATTAGGAACTGGTCATATTCATCACTTTCTCTAGGTGGATGAGAGCCCTGATTTTGAAATACATATAACAATGTGTGATGATGATCCACCCACACCTGAGGAAGACTCAGAAACACAGCCTGATGAGGAAGAAGAAGAAGAAGAAAAAGTTTCTGCACCAGAGGTGGGAGCTGCCATTAAGATCATCCGGCAGTTAATGGAAAAGTTTAACTTGGATCTGTCGACAGTTACACAGGCCTTCCTAAAAAATAGTGGTGAGCTGGAGGCTACTTCCTCCTTTTTAGAGTCTGGTCAGAGGGCTGATGGGTATCCCATTTGGTCCCGACAGGATGACTTAGATTTGCAAAAAGATGATGAGGGTACCCGAGATGCACTGGTCAAAAAATTTGGTGCTCAGAATGTAGCTCGGAGGATTGAATTCCGAAAGAAATAATTGGCAAGATAATGAAAAAAAAAGGTTTGGCAGATAAGGCATTAAAAATTTTTTTTGTGACTATTGAACTTCAGAGATTTTTACATTGGAACTGACACTCATCTTTTGACCAATGCTATTGTTGCTCTGTGAGTCCTAGATTTTGTAGCCAGGCAAAGTTGGAGGATGAAAATAAAAGAAATTGGATATATTTAGAGCTGTTCCTGGCAGTATCAATGTGTTTGTAAAAGGAAAATCAAAAACAGAGAGGTTGGTTTACATAGTAATAACTGCTTTCTGGAATGGAATCCCTGCTGTCTTGGTGAGAGGAGCTAGTGACAAAGTCAAAGGCTGAAAATTAGATGGGTCTTTTCAGAAAGCATAAATAAAGAGCCTCCTATCCTTTGGCAGAAGCTTCTCCAGATTATGATAGATTCCAAATTAAGAATCTAGGAATGTGGAAAGATTTAATTACAAGGCCTTTGAACGTGGACTGTCCCAAACCCTTGCATCCCCCAGTGATCTCTGATTTTTGGGCTGCTTTGAAAACCCCATATTCCTTTTGCCAACTTATATGTGGGGAGCCTGTTTGTTGGCTGTTCTTTTCTTCAAGTCTGTGTCAGTTAAGTCTCTAGCATGTGTTTCTTTATCTACCATCCAATTTTGTTTAAAACACAAAAATTTAGAGAGTCTTGGGAAGAGTCTTACTTGGTTACTAGTAATGTGTTTTTATTTATTGAGGATAGTTTTGTGCCAAGAATAGTGTTAGATTTAAAAATTAGAGGATTAATTCCTCTTTGTTGTGTTGATTTCATTATTGAAAATAAATAGAACTTTGTATTTGAGTCTCCACAAAGTGTTTTCTTTGATTGTATTCACAAAACCTTTTAGGTATAAAAACCATAAAGGAACTAACATTTTTGGCTCTTAGTAATTAGAACCAATAAAGAGTTCCATTTAAGACTAATGGGTTATTAGAAAGAAACTGTTTCTTCTGGGTGGAGCAAAGAGAAGATCTGTGTCAGGGACTGTGAAAGATGGCATAACAAGGTGAACTGCTGAGAGTCAAAAGGGAAGAGAAGCCAATAAGGAACCGTCTGGTGTGTAACAGAAGGTGTCAGTGCCTGTCCCAAATGCCTGAGCACTCACCATTCCAGCACTTGCCACCAACAGGAGTCCTACTGCAAGCACCTTCCTGAGGCTCCCTCTCTGCTTGAAGTGCTGTGGAGTTAATGCCCCTGCGAGCAGCTTTCAGCTAATGTTGAATAGGAATCAGAGGATGCATACCCAGCTTCCTTGCTCACCAGAGAAATGACAGCTGAATATTTGAGTTACCCCTCTAGTGGAGCAATGGTTTCCATACCCTCCGAGGCCGCCAGTAGAAGAAAGCATAGTTGCCCACAGTGGTATGAATGCACCTGCATAGACCTCCTCTTATTTTACATAACCCACTTCCCTACTAGTGCATCCTGGAATCATCAGTTAAATTCACATTTTTTCCTTAGAGTCTGCTTCTGGGAGAACCCAGCCTAAAGCAAAGCATTTAACCTTTTCCTCCTCCTTAGAATGTTCAAGGATACAACACACACCCAGCAGTAAACGTAGCTCACTACAGTAGTGATTCTTTTTTTTTTGGCTGTGCTGCACGGCATGCGGGATCTTAGTTCCTTGACCAGGGATCGAACCCGCGCCCCCTGCAGTGGAAGCATGGAGTCTTAACCTCTGGACCACCAGGGAAGTCCCTACATTAGTGATTCTTAAATGGGACTTGGGAGGGGTTGGGTGGTGGATGTTTGTTTAAAATGGGTTCTCCTCCATTGTGATGTGACCCGAGGGTGGTTGAAAATCATTGCTTTAGATATGAAATGGAAATGTCATCTAGCATGTCTGTATCTCAATAAAGTTACCACAGCCTATTGGCTTTACAGAGCTAGAAATTCCAGTTTTGTCAGTCATGTGCAAAAGGGTCTGATTTATTATACCCGGACTCCCAGAAGACATGTTTAAATAAAAACACACACCAACTTCTAGTGCTCATTATAAACCAGTAATTTTCAAATATCTGTTTTTGTAATTTCTCTGGTCATTTCATCTCTTGGGCTGGGATATATGTGGGGAAGCAAATTATCAGAAATATTTTGGGGAGCACAAAACTAAGCAAGGAAAATGAGTTGGATCTTAATGGTTAATGGCATTGAGCTATGGCTGTATCTACTTCAGAGACCAGCAGTTCAAGTCTTGAATTGAGATACTTCTGCTTTGTGCTGCCAGATTCTTGTTCTTTGGGTTTTCTTTCCTTGACTTCGTGAGTTTGGCTTTTCTTTTTTGCTTATGATGTGGGATATGTTATTTCTTACTCATTTTAGCTCTTGAGTTCCAGGCCTTCCTCACTATTCCCCTTTGGCTCCTCCTTACTCCAGCTTTTGAAATTTTTCTAGACCTTAAATAACCTCCATAACTTCATTAGTGGCAGAAACATTCTGTCTTCTCTTTCTCTGCAGCAGTGAGGCTATTCATTATTTTCCTCTGTTCCCTATTCCATTTAAGTGGGTGCAGCTGAGTTTTAAAAGTTGAAGCTGCTGTTTGAATTGTTCTGATCCTCTCTTGCTTTTGGACTAATGCTTTTGGCTGAATCATATGCCTACCTGGCTATAGCAATAAGGTGTATTTCATTGAACGTAACAGAAAACCTAACTCTGAAGGACTTTAATAAATAAGGGGATTTATATTTTGTATATATAACAAGAAGCCCTGAGGTTGGGTGGCTTTAAGGTTCTAGTCTTCTGCTCTGCCATCCTTAACGTGTCCTGTCAGCTGCTCCCCTTGTGGTTGAAAGGTGGCAGCTACAGCTCCAACAGCTGAAGAGGGAGGGTTTCCTCCTAAGTGTCTCCTTTATTGGTGGGCAGCCTTTCTCAGAAGCCCCTCATAGACATCTCACTGGCCAGAATTGTGACACGTGCCCCTTCCTAACTCCACCTCTCTGCAGGGTAAATGAAGTTGACTTAGAGTGATTAAGATCTGTACTCCTTGGGCTGCGGATTGTGTATCCTTCCCTGGGAATGTGCCCTGAAAGGGGAGGGTGTATACCCAAATAAAAGTCAGGGAGTTTAGGGTCTGCTAAGAACTTCCATTGTACGGACGAGTCACCTTCTTCAGGAGCAAGAATATTCTACCCAGGAGCAGGCAGCATAGCTAGTGACTAAATCCCCAGTGCCCCCTCCAGAGGATATACAGTGATTTCTGCTTCAGAGGTAAAGTCTGCATTTCGGCCATCACCCAAACAGTGGACACAGTCTGGACCAGGGCTGGCCTGCGAGATGCATGACCTCATCCACGGCCCCTCCCGTCCAAAGGTTTTCAGCCCCAAGGGGTCCAAGAACTAAGGGACCAGGTTGTTGGGACCCAAGGGGTCTCTAGGAAGAGGGCAGGAGCCTTTTATCGGAGGCAGAGCTGGGATGGGGCAATCAGATGCTCCAGCTGTGGGCACCAAGCAAGGTCCACTGGACTTGCCACCCTGTGCCAAAACCCTGCAGGATCCATGTTCTCAGCCCTGCCTTCAGGCTGTAGAGGCCTCGACCATGACAACCTTTAAGGCCTCCACTGGCTATGAGCCCAGTGCACATTCATGGTCACCTCAATCTGGTATAAGAATAGGATGTCTGGGGCTTCCCTGGTGGCGCAGTGGTTGAGAGTCCGCCTGCCGATGCAGGGGACACGGGTTCGTGCCCCGGTCCGGGAAGATCCCACATGCCGCCGAGCGGCTAGGCCCGTGAGCCATGGCCGCTGAGCCTGAGCGTCCGGAGCCTGTGCTCCGCAACGGGAGAGGCCACAACAGTGAGAGGCCCGCGTACCACAAAAAAAAAAAAAGAAAAAAAAGAATAGGATGTCTGATCACCCAATCCATGAAAAGGACATTTGACTTACAGGAGATTCTGAACTGGTCAACGTGGTTCTCTTGGTCAGATACTGTTCCTTACCTTTTTCTCTAGAGACTTAATCCCACTGCTTGCTTCAGAAGTGAAAATTTACCTATTTCTCTAGAGAAGGTGATCCCATCTGTCTCCCTCCAGAGGCTATAGTTAGACGTGTAGATATAGAGATAGGCATAGAGAAGAGTATGGAGGGGAGCTGTAGAGACAATGTAGATGAACAATAGATAATATATTTACATAGATCCATACATATAAACATGGAGATATAGATATGCATATAAATGAAGAAGTAGATTATAGATACAAATGTATAGTTTTCCCTTCACAAATAATCAGACTTGTTTTCATAAGTTGGAGAACTCTGTCCACATATGTGTTTGAAGTACAGGAAAGATACTAGGACCTCTCATCTCTGACCACATGAGAATCATGTGGGGGAGAAATTTAAAAATCAAACTAGGCATGGTATCAACACTTAAATATATCAGATTTTTTTTGTAGATTTGTGCCACTAATACCTGCACATACGCATGTGAGTTTTATTTCCCTAAGTGGTTAATGAAGATACAGCTCATATTAGGAAAAATAACTTGTGCTGAGTGTTATTTGGCCATAAATACTGATGTTGGAATATTCTGGCACTTGTGCTTCAGTGTATAAACATTTAGAGAACTGTTGCATGTAACGCACCCAGATACCAGAAGGATGTCCACCTCATGACTATATTTGTGCAAAACAGGTATCTTTGTAGAACTAGATGTATGCGTACTGATCTTCTTTCAACACCTTCATATGGAAAGTAAACAAAGCAAATATGACAAAACAGAAAGCAAATTGATAAAACGAACAAAGAAGTGGTATTTTTTAAAGACATTTTTATTGCCACATATACCAAAATCTGTTTTCAGAATTTACCTTTTCAAAAGAAGGGGGAAGACTGAGAATGAGAATGGTTATCCCAGGTTTTAGATGAACGTATGATGTATTTATAATGAGGAGAAATATTATGGACATATATATATACATATATGCAAATATATACAAAAAACTAAAAAAGTGGAAATATTAGCATCATTAGACTATGTTCAGTGATGATATGGTATGGAGGAGAAATATTATGGACATATATATATACATATATGCAAATATATACAAAAAACTAAAAAAGTGGAAATATTAGCATCATTAGACTATGTTCAGTGATGATATGGTATTGCTATTATAATTTCCTTGTAATTTTTTGTATGTTTTAAATAGTCAAAGTAATACACTTCTTCCAAGTGAAGGTTACTCAGTATTATGGATTTGTCCTAATCCATTTAATCATTCCTGTAATGATGGATGCTGAGGTAGTATCTGGTTCCCAGTTTAAACCCTTGGAGCTTTGGGGAAAA